TCATTCCACCACCCAACTAGTGTAAAGCTCTCAAGACATTATAGGTGGTTATCAGTGGCATGAGATCTAGAATCAGACAGAAGTATACTAAAATTCTAGCCCTTCCATTTACTGGTTATATGACTCAGACAAGTTAGTAGGTAAAATCTGAACCCAAACAGGTTTTACAACTCAACATCCTATGATACAATATCAAAATGCTAAGGAAGGCAAGGGGAAAAGGAGGATAGAAATTCACACATGTTTTTCTTTGCCAAATGAGATATTCCACCACCATGGGTCTATCTCCACTCTCTACTCCATGTGATTATTATAGAATCTAAAAATACTTAAAAAGAAAAAGTGACCCACTCAATGAGCCCTCAGTTATAAGCTGGTTGTGCTGGTATTTTATCTATTCATAATATCTATACATGTGCTGCCTCCTTGATAAATCACTATAATGCAGTTTACAATAAAACTCACCACTGTGGGCTGGGCAGAGAATGGGCTGAGTCTCACCAGTTGAGGGGCCAATCTGAGCCAGATCCAAGCAGAATTGGGAAGATCATTGGGCAGAAGGCCTTGGTCTGGCACTGTGGGTTACAGAACCGTTTTGATAGTAGTCCGCTAAGGATAGAAGACCCTATGGGCCCAGAACAGACAGAAAGCTTCCACATAATTGGTCTGTGAAACTGTTTCTGGGACCAAGAAGTGTATCAGTTAATTACTGCCTTAATAATGCTGTGTAATAAATCACCCTACAACTCAGTAGCTTAAAACAACAATCCTTTATTCTGTGAGCCTGTATGTTGTCTGAGGCAGTTCTGCTTCATTCTGCAGGCCTGTGGATCTCGATCTTCTCCATGGTCTTTCATCTTCCCTAAACCAGAGGACTTGTTGAGACATGTTCTTCTGAAGGCAGTAGCAGACATATAAGAGGAAATGAAAAAACATCCAAGGCCCCTTAGGGCCTAGATTCAAAATTGGTGCAATCACTTCTGCCCCATTTCATTGACTGAAGCAAGAGCCCCAGCCCATGATCAAAAGGCAGGGAAGTACACTCTGCCCATGACAGAGCCATATCAAGGAAGCAATGGAGGAAGACACAAGGAACTTGGGACAATAATCGAATCAACTACTTCAGCACTTCTGGTCATATTATTCTCATTTCTTCACCATGAGAAACAGCCCAATCTCCATCAAAGAACACCCAGAAGTCGCACCTCATCACAGCATCAGGCTCAAAATGTAGGATCTTTTGATCTATGCCAGGTTTGGATGTCAACTGAACCTAAGACCTAAAAACCCCCAAAATTGCCCACCCCTATATACTTACAAATTATGCAGTAGTATAACAGGGACAGGACTGTTCCAGTGAACATCCATTCAAGAAGAGAAAGACTGGTCCTTAGCAATTCTGAAATCCCTTTAGGCAAATTAGCCGAGTTCTCATGCTATGGGAATAGGGAATTTTCTTGACCTTGGTTCTGTTCACAAAGGGAAGGGAAAGTGGTGGTGGGGAGGCCAGATCTCATCAATTGTTCTTTACAACGCCTGACTCTGTCCTCTGAGACTTTCTTTTCCATCATCGTCCTCATTTGCTTCTGAAGAGGACATGGAAACACTCCTTTTTATTGGTGGCTAAGTTTTCAAAAACTTTTTCCTACCTGTAGAAAATTGAGGGTTCAGAGGTCCTTTCTCTGTCTGAAACAGTTTTAGTCCCTTTTAGTTCAAGCTGGCAGTAGTTTGGCAGTATTGCCCTCTACAACTTAATGGGTTTTCTATGTATTTGATTCTAGTTCATTCCATGTGTACAAATTACAAATTTTTTCAAGACATGTTTTCTCTCCCCAAGTTTAATTACTAGCATTTTGGGCACATCAGGTGATTAATGTACCATGTTTTGAAGCTTTATAGGAAGTTTTGTACAGGTGAAAGATTAAAAGACACCTTGTAATAATTTGCAATGTGATAGCCACACCCCTGATTGGGTCTTTACCTTGAGGCCATGTTTTTCTGTAAGACACCTGGATTTGGGCTTTGTCTCTCTTGCTCTAATTTGACAACCATGACCTTAACTGGATCTTTGTCCCCAGGCTGTATCTTAACTTGTGAATTTTCTTCTGGCTGCGGGGCTGAAGATAAGAAACAATTTTATTTTCTAACTCAGTAATTTCTAGGCTCTCCATAGACCCCCAAAATTCTGGCTTGCAAACTGGCCTTTTTCTTTCTTTTCCTTAAGCACATCTCTTTCTTGTAGGACATTGCTATATACATTTAAAAGCAAACAGTCCACTCTTTTAAAATTTTTCTGAGAAACTATTTTTCCTCTCTCTCTCTCTCTCTCTCTGCCATTTTGATTATGCTGCTCACTACTTTGAGTACTTATACCATGCAACAGATAAGTGGTTAGATTTAGATTTGTAAACACTTGGACCGTAAGGTCCAGTGTATCTGTCAAGAACAACTTTCTGAATACTCTGTTGAGAGGCACCAAGAGTTGGCTCAGCCTTAAAGAAGTACTTATAATGTAGAATGTTTTAATGGTATGATGTCTAGATCTCCTCTTAGGATCCTAAGGAGAAAAGAAACGATAAATATTTGAATATTTCTAGGATTTTTGAACTCTTACTTTCAGAAAAGTGAGACTATGATCTCTTACAATGGCCACAGATGTAAATTCTACTGGTTTGGAAGTACCTGGAGCAGAACTCTATCATTTGTTATATTCCATAAATGGTAGGACCATAGTTTACCAGCTATTTGGAACAGGGATTCGATGGTGGAATGGTCTTATAAGAGTCTCTTTTGAACCCAGCAAGAGGATCTATCTGGAAATGTAGGGTCTTGCCACCTCTGGGCCTGCCCTAAAGTCAGTTAATCACGTGGAGTCCTTGGTCCCAAACCCCAGAGACAGGGATGCCACTTCAGGTTCTGTTGAAATGAGCATGTTAGGTCCATTAGGCAAAAAAGGGGCATGGCAGGGATGGACAGAAGAGAAATGCTCCAAGCCAACAATACTGATAGTCAGCATAGTTTTCCATGCATTAGGACTGTAACACACACTATATGTAGAATTAATGTTTCACAGCAACCTCCACTTTGTAGGTGAAAGAAGCCTAGGCTCAGAGAGGCTAAATAGCTTGCTTAGGGTCACCCAACTAGTAGATGGCAGCACCCAGGATCTGAAAGCAGATAGCCTGGATCCATAGTCCCACTGCTATGCCTTAGTCTATGTCATACAACTCTCCACTGACCATGGGATCTTTACCAGTAAGGAGTTGCCAGCCAGGCATGATCCTCGAACCTAAGGTCAGAGATGTTGGTCCATGGCTCCTGGTTCCTTCATTGTTTTTCCTGTGCACATTCTATCTCAAAATGTGAAAGCCTGCTATTTTCAAATGGATAGAGGTTCCCCTAATCTCTTTTTGGAAGCAGACAGCAGTATCCTGTAGACAAAGCCAACCCAAATGTTTGTACTCAGAATCATTTTGAGCTTCTCAAATGCACAAAGATTTCAGTGGAAACTCCCGACTTCTACAGCTCAAGCCATGGGAGAGATGAATTAGGTTTGAAAATGTCAGAACCTTGCCTAAGGAATCTGATATTGATAAGCACTGGTGATTCCACCCAGAAGAATTATCTGCAATTCATCTAATTGATCTACTAGATAGGTGATCCACTATGTCAGTGCTTATATCAAGAACATGAATTGTGGATAAGGCCTTTCAAATATAATAATAATAATAATAATACATTTTACAGTTAATTCTAAGCAATAACAAAAAATGGGATGAGTTAGCTTTTCAGACATCTTGCAAGCTGTGAATATCAAATCATACTGCTAAGAAAAGAGAAAGAGTTTTCTGAAATGCTGTGGAGTCAATTCTGCTTAAGAAAAAGTGGAGGCCTTAGCCTTCACTGTTTTATACCACTTAGAATTTCAATATGTCGAGAGACTATTGTCATTCTGGTTCTCAGAGTGGTATTGAAATGCAAGCTTTGCCAAAGCAGGAACAGCTTAGAATCTCTGCTGAACTCATCACTTTGGCCCAAATTTGACATCTGTCTCGCATTTCTAATCTACATGTTTTACTACCTCAGTGAACAGCATTGCTAATACCACAAACCTAGCGTCGTCCTTGTTTCCTCCCCCGTCCCACCCTTGTATTCAGTCATCTCCGAATCCTCACAATCCACTGATGTAAATTTAACTTGAATCTCTCTACTCCTCTCTATTGCAGCACCTCCATATTTTAGGTTCTCATAAATTCACCAGAGAATCCCTGAAGCAGTCTACTAGCTGGTCCCCTGCCTCCTGGGTTACTCCCTCTCACGCCTTCCTCCACACTGTGGCTGGTGTGATCTTCCTGAAGCATGAAAGGGATTCACTGCTTAAACTCTTCAGGCCGTCCCAGTTGTTCTCAGGACACACTGTGTGCTCCTTAGCCTGCGTACCCGGCCCTCCCAAGCAGTGATAAATTACCTTCCCATCACCCATTATTCCTGATAATTCAACTAAGAGCAGGCCCCAGGTGCTTTTGTGCCTTTTTTCTCCCCTCAAGCTTTGGTTTTTTGTTTTTATGTGCTTGGAATGCCCTTTCCCCCCCCGCCCCCAGAGAGAGAGAGAGAGACAGCCATAGAGAAAGTCAGAGCTGGAACTGGAGATAGGTATAAATGTCTACACATTTTGATGTACATAGAACAAGATCTAGAAGGACATGCACTAAAATTGTTTATAAGAATCCCTGAGAAATTGTGTACTTGTTACTCTTCTAAACAGCTGGGTTTTTAAATAGTGAATATGTTTAACTTCTCTATATATGCTTTTCCATTCTCCACAAGATGCCTCCAGAGATACTGATGCAGTAGAGAAAGGTGCTGGATTCTGATCTTCCAAAGTCTCCCAGAGACTCTGTTAAGAAGTCAGTTTTTGGAAACATGGTTGAAATGACTGTTTTCAATATAATAAGACAATTGACAATTTTGTTTTTGTAGAAAAGTTTCAGGTCTATTGATACTTTTTAAAGTTATTTCTTTTTATTTTGTAATAGTTTAATTCCACTACAAATGTATATTCTCTAAGTATATTAGGTTTGAAATATCTCTAAGGATTATAATAGTTTGGGCAGTAATTTTAACAGTCAGTCACTTTTGAATAAAGGGTTTGAAAAATCATTGTAAAGTGTGTGTTTGTGAAGTAAATTTCATAAACCATTTTAAAGTTAGGCAAACAAAAAAATAGACAAGAATAAACATCAGAGTTATTTAATTTTAAAATTTTAACACAAACTTAAATGTCATTTTCTTGGCTGTGAAAATCACGGTCATTCTCAAAATATCAAGTAGAAAGTTATTACAAAGATCAATTTTGCTATAATGAATACTTATTTCACTAAACATTTTTAAGTTTTTAACTTTGAGTAAATAGGAAGATGCCAATGTTTTAATAATTAATTCCCAAAATTATGTAGAAAACCCTAAAACTCAGACATCAAAGCATCTATTTCTTTAAACTTGTTAGTTATATTCTCAATACATTCTCCAGCTTTTAATTTTATCCCATCAATTACAAGGTAATCCTCTTCACAGTGGTTTTCAAATGTACTGTCTGTAGGAGCTTCAGGGCTGCATTTAGATAACTGCAAAAAACAAAACAAAAACAAATGTATAATTAATCAGAATGATGTCAAATTTGCTTGATCACTTGAACACAACATAAAGGAGTAACTTCTTGAGCCCTATCAGTTATACAAAGTTTTCTGTTGTTCCTCTCTTCAAACAGTAATCACCATATTTAGTAGAATGTATGGTAAATGTGTTTGTATGAGAATAAGCTAGCTGGGCTCGGTGGCTCAGCCTGTAATCCCAGCGCTTTGGGAGGCTGAGGTGAGTGGATTGCCTGAGCCCGCGGGTTCGAGACCCGCCTGGGCAACTTGGCGATAACTC